TTTTTTTTTATTGTCTCTTACCGGTTTTGATCATTTGCTGCTCTGAAATTTTGTGTAAATTCTAAAATGGTACCATTTGTAACCGAAAATTGCGACCGCCTTTATGTTATTGTTTTCCATGCATTCCATTCAATAGCGTAACTTTTGACACACAAGTAATTGGTCTTTTTTTTTTTTTTGAATCTAAATTAATTTATTATCCACTTGTTTTATTTATACATACTCATAATAGTATGTATAAATAATATGATCTACAGTTATAAAGTTGCAAAGTATCATCATACATGTATTTTTAGCAGTACCAACATTGATCGTCAACTTTTCAAATTATATTCATATGTATTATATTCATCACTAACAGTTCACTTATAATTTTGTTACCTTTATTCCTTTTCAGGAACTTAACACCAGTAGCCAATGTGTACCATTGGGCTGTCGAAATCAAGCACTAAAACATCCAAAAAAGCGTCCTTCAGTGTTGAAAATATATTATCGTGTAGTTCATTTTCTCACAGGTGTATTTTTCTTTTTTTCAAAATTAGTAAATTTTCGCGTTACACAGCTTTTGTTTATACATTTAATTGCACATTAACTTTTCTTAACTGCTAATTACCTATAATGAAATAGCTAAATTTAGTGATTCTTCCGCAAAAATTCCTAAACCATCGCCGGTGAATCCGCTTGTTACAACTTCTGTGGTCACGATTCCATCTATTTCACGAGTTTCACAGTCTGAGACATCAAATTCCGGGTATTCATTAACAACCGATCCAGCTGGAATGTTTTTGCTACCTAGTTATATTCATTCTATACCTAGTGGTACTTCCGCAGATAGTTGTCCCGGATCAACAAATGATTCGTTTCTTGCACATTACCCTTGGCAAGCAACTTCATCGGAACAATCCTCCTCTCCTCGTAAGTAACAAGTTTTAATTGTTATTATTATTATTATTATTATTATTATTATTATTATTATTATTTTTAGCACTGCGTCAACTAATTTTCTGATTCTTTTTAAATTAAATGTAAATTTTTAAAATTAAATGCCATGAAAATTATAACTAAATAAAAATAAGGTTTATTTATTTATTTATTTGGTCAGTTGTTTCAGCTGAACATAAAAGTTTAGCAGCTATGGGTATAACGAAATGCTTATTGCGGAAGCATAAGAATAACCGTAAACCGAGGACACCATTCAGTACTCAACAGTTGCTGTCACTGGAACGAAAATTTCAACAAAAGCAATACCTGTCGATCGCTGAACGTGCGGAATTCAGCGCATCCTTACAACTTACCGAAACACAAGTCAAAATATGGTTTCAGGTAAACAGTTCCAACCATCATTTCATATTCTCATTTGATACATTCATCCAATATAAACATTTTTGCAGTGGTACTCGATTTTTTATCATTTGTTTTTATCATCTCTTTACTAATTCTATTTCGTTGATATTTTAATGCTATCATTTTTGCTCGTATAGTGATAATATTATTCCTAACTCGTAGTTATTTTTAAAGTTCGGAGCTTCACAATTATACTACAATTGCAAGAAGTATTTGTAGAAGAATATTCGTAGATTTGAATTTAATGATTTGTTCACAGGAAGGGAAGTTTATAGAAGTGAAAAAAAAAATATCGTTAAAAAGTGAAGTAAATTAGTTGCTTTGAAATTTTATTGGAAATGAAGATTTATAAAATGATAACTAAGTGATTATCTATTGCAACTCGATATGTTGCTATATCTGTATAAAAAACAATATACTATTCTATCACATCAGTAAAAACGTTATTGTTATTTTAAAACTTAAATTTAGTAACATTTCTTTGTCATAGAAAGGTTTACTACTGTATGAAGTTATTGCTAACCTATTGATCTGAATGTTTACTGACCTTTAACACCTTGCCATAGAGTAATAGACTCGTAAAATTCCGTCTTTTTTTCACTACAGATAATATGCATTCGAAATATCCATCAACAAAAACGATCTATATCTCTTCATTTTTGCAAGATCATTCAATTTACCCTAAGTAACCCATAATTTCGTTATCAGCAATAATAAATCATAGCACGTTATGCATCTCACTCTATGTATTTTCTCTTAGATATCAATCAATTCAGTGATTATATCAGTGATGGTGTCGGCTAGTGAATATTTAATAATGTATAGTCAAAAACACTTTGTCAAGATATCAATACTCACTTCGCACCAATTCTCCTAGATAATAATTGCTTCAACTTGTGAAATTGAAATTGAGAGTAGATAGCTGATAAAAGGAATTTCTAGAAACTTGAATTGATGATAATTCGTTAATAATTATGGATGATGATGAATCATCCTAAATTATTTGCTGAAAAGTATGTTTAAATAATGATGAATGGGTAGTGGTCGTTAGCTGAAGATAGTACCCCTAGGGGGTTGAGGCTGTGGAGATTGAGATAAGAGGACAAGAAAGCAACCGGAAGATAGAAGGATTAGGAGGTCATGAAGGAAGGAGTTTGAATATATGATGTTTTGTATCCATTAAATGGTGACGAGAAAAGAAACAAATTTTTTGAGTAAATGGCTATTATCCGCTATTAAGCAATCAGTTGCGGTATTTTTGATCTTTTGTCGGGTGATTTCAGGAGGATTCGAGAAACACGAGGTAATACATCTCATTATGTTAATTCCTCATTAAATATTAATTCTACCTAAATCGTAGCTCATTATAAACTGTTTCTGCAACGGAATAAACAATTCCGAGCCATAAAAACAAGTGATATCTATCCTATGCTTCCCAACCATTCTAGCTTCATTATGAAAATGCTTACAATAATTGATTCAACTGAAACTGATATGAGCAAACATTTTAATGGGCGGTGCTCCATCACATATCTCACATTAGCATTTTGTATTTGATTAGCACTATCCTCTTGAAAAACGCTGGCATTTTCAAAAGGAAAGAAGAAGCACTGTAAAGTCATTTCATTTCTATTTTTCAATATTTACTTTAGTTACTTCAATACTAGCAAGTACATCATTTATGATTAGAATGATTGCTAATTGATTTCTTCATGATTAAACTTATTGCTATTCGTTACAGCTAGCAACAAAATCTTGGATGATAAAAATAATAAATCATTCTTTCTCAATAGTATTCAGATGATGTTGAAGTTAACGATAGTTTTAGCATTTCATCTCCATTCCCATCCTTGCGGTTCTTTATTTCCCTTTAACTTCAACGCTATTTTCCAATATTCTGTAAATTTTAGCTTAGAAATTTATGAAATATGCATTTTATTAAGAAAATCGTAATTAATCCATGCTTTTCACTATGGAAATAAGTACAGTATGACACTTGTGACGAATACTTCATAGACCCACATGTACACATACACACATACACATACGTACACACATACATACATACACATACACGTATATATGACGCTAACTAAATAGCATAGACAAGAGCAGAGTTCGTTGTCCAAAGATATACGTCTGTACGCAGACAATGACAGACGAAATGCGCATAAACAAAGATCAGCAGACGTCGGTGAGTATGTACTGCTGACACAGGCGCAGAAACATGCACACATGCACAGACATACAAATTCACCATGTTTTGATGATACGGTACTTTGCTATTTCTAAAATGAGCAAAAAATATATGTAAAATTTTATGGACAACAAAACAAAAAGCAAGTAGCAAGCTAAGAAGTATAAGCAATACTGTGACTTAATGAAAAGAAAAGCATTACGTAATTATGTGTAATAAGGAATTTATCTGAATGATTTTTTCTGTCTTGTTAATGTAGGAACATTCTGCTAGAATCAAGTAAATGACCATTACTCATGTGCAATTGTATATCTGAAAAGAACCTGTTGTATTATTATTACAGCTTAGATAGATCTTGTTCCTAGATTGTTGGGCATGTTGCTTCCGTAGCAAACGATTGGATAAAATGCGAATTGTTTCGCTTGGCCATCTATAATATTCATTGCTTATAGTCAACTATGATATTTCTTGATCATGGCCATTCAATATTCAGATGAAATATTTTAGCCTAATTTTATAGGAGACTTTTCATTTTTCAAATGCTAAACAGCAATAACTTCAGTTAATACAAAGAAACATTTATTTCTAATTTGCTTCCAACTTTTATAATTAAAGATTTTTATCCTCTCTCTTCTTGTTTCTTCCTGAAAACAGTGAGTGGTGAATGAAGTTTATTTGTGTAGAAGTAAAGGTTAAAGGTTAGCAGAAAAAATAGTTGAAGAATTTCGGTAAAGAAGTGTTCTTGTATGTATTGCGGAAACAAATGTTTATATATATATTTATATAGATGTATATGTAAATATGTATGTATGTGATTCGGGAAAACGGAAAAAATGAAAACAAATGATAGTTGATGGAAGAACCGTTTATTGAAACTAATCCAATGGTGGCACTGATTTATGATGGATGGCTTTCTCAATTAATGCTTTTTTATTATGCTCACATGTCTCATCACTTTTGTTTATTCATATCATTCCTCTAATTTTACTCATTTCTATGACAGAATTTCTTTTTATAATTTCTATAACAAAACATATTTCAGATCCAAATTTTGAAATATCCAATAAATAGAGACAATATGATTATGTAATTGTATTAACAAATTCGACAAGTGACACCTGTCCTGCTCTTATCAATTAACTTATGCAAATAGTACATTTGTCTTTTCACGTAAACACTCATTCATTCTTTTCCACTGTTACTTGAAATTAATCCTTTATGCTAATTGTTAGATTTCTAAGACCATTTACCTAACAATGTATTTGTTGTGTATATCGTAATTATATTAAATTGTAAAAAAGAAGTGCAGTATTATTTTGGACTATAGATATGAAATTTTGTATGAAATTTGATGAGTTTGAAAGTTATTAGGAATTTTAAAACAATCAAAAAAGAACTGAAGTAGAAAATATGCATTTTGCATATAAACTTCTAATTGTTTGCCCTTTCTTTGAAAGTTCTATCGTGCGAGGACGACCTTTGCCCGCAAATCGTGTGAGACATCCCGCTGGGTGACACGCAGAAGAATTGGCCCCCATATACCACCCATACTTTCCACAGCTGCTAAATCACAAACGCACATATTTGCATTGCCGATACTTTTTGGCAAATTAGAAACATACATTTTAATTTATCAAATTTCCATTAAGAAATGCGCATGAAACAAAGCGAAATTTTAACATAGCGATATTTTCCCAAAATTATCAAAATTCAAACTGAAATTAATTAATTATTGAAATTCATTGAAAATATCGAAAGTATCAAGAAATGCTTAACTGTGCTAGCTATTGATGATTTCACATTTTTGACAAATCGTGTATCACTAACATCATTTTTGACATTATCTGGTTAACAGCGAAAAAGTTTGAAATATAATTTAATGGAAGAAAGAAAATGAGTGAAAAAACTGAATTGATCATTATCATGATATTTTCAAATTTTTCATATTTGCTAAAAATAAATTACTGTGTGACACCTGCTAATAAATTAACTTAAGATTTAAATAATTTAAAATATTAAATTTTGATATTTTACTGCAGCTTTTGTTTAAATAATTAAAAGATGTTTCTTGATCATTTAAAGTTAAATGAATGTAGACAAATAAATTTGCTGTATTTGTTACTTTGAAAAATGTTTTGAAATTTTGAGATTGTGTCTTAAAAGCAGTATGAAAATGTTACAAAATTTTATTTCCTTCAGAATCGCCGAGCGAAATCAAAGCGACTTCAGGAAGCAGAAGTTGAAAAAGTAAAATTTGCTCAGGCAAGCGCATTTGCAGCTGCAGCTGTTGCAAATGCAGCCGTAAGTGGTACTTCAAAAACTTATATTCCGTTCGCTTACAATCCTCACTGGTGAAATTTGATTGAATTCATATCTTTTATTTGTTATAGTTATTGTTCTATATTACCAATTGGTTTTTGTTACATAGTTACTGTAAAAGTCTTAAAGCTAAAAGAAATGTTCCAATAAGAAAATGTTTAAGAATCAAATTGATATAAGCAAAGGAATAATAACGATTGATAGTGAAGTAGGATGAAAGAAAAGTGTGGAAGTGCTGAAAATGGTTAAATATGATGACAATGACCTTTCTATTGCACTAATTACAAATTTTCAACAACTTTGAAATCATAACACTCCTTGCTAATTCATTATTATTGCTTATCTTTTTCTATTATCCTACTCTAAAGCATCGTATTTTTGTATAATATCGAATAACGTTGTATAATTGATCTCTTATTGGTTACTGGTATGCAATAGCTGTTGTAGAAGCAGAAAATGGAACTGCAATACAACATCGGGATATTTTCTTAGGATCAGGGAGTTCCCATTTCAATCATCTTGTACGATTTTCACGAAATCTTTTGCAGATTTAGGATTTTGTTATTTCTTGATAAACAATCATCATTACTTCCTTTTCTATACTTTCTCCCCACTGTGTATTACAAATTTCAAAGTAATGTAATTTGATTTTTTTGCAACGAAAAGTATATAGTTGACAAAATTCGAAAATGTTTATTATATATTGATTCTTATGAATTATATATTACTGTTTGATGATACATGATATCGATTAAGTTACAAAGTTTTACCTAACATTTCGATGAATAATGATATGTGTTTAATGATAAGAAGTGGGAACACTTTAGGTTTATTGTTACAAATCGATTGTTTCTATGAAATTAGTACGATGAAGTTTAACAGTCTGATACAAATATTCAATCATTTGAAATCATTTGTGCCATGTTTAGATGGATGAGAAAAGGAATACGACAAATAAGTTATTAACATATATTGATTTTATAGCAGAAAATTTTTGTCCAGAAGAAATTAGCTAAGTTAAAAACTTTTCAAACATCCTTTCTGCAACCCTTTCATATATTGTAACTGTGACACTTTATTACTTATTTTCGTTCTAAAAGTTTGCATATATATGTAAAAATTGTTTATATTGTAAACACGGTAAATTCCTGAATGATATCTCATTTTTTTGAATCAGTTTATTTTGTTGATTCCATAATTAGATATGGTGATATAGAAAAGTAGCAAATTTGATAAAATGTGAAAAGTATCTTTTTGTTCAGTGAAACAAATCAAATATTATCATCATTTTTTTTTTTTTCAGCAATTCATATCTTAATCATTTATCATTTTACTACAACTTATATGACAATGGAAACGTATAAAATGAATAATGTCTCTTAAAAGTAACATTGCTGCATTATGATTATAGATAGGCAAGTATTATTAGCTTTCGAAGAATGGTCGTAATGTTAGCTGACCGTTTAACCACTTACTTTAATCTATCTATTGATTATATCTATGATTATTGAACTTCGCTTTCCATGGATTTCAAATAATGATTGATGGATAGTAATGTTTTACTTTAAAACATTAGCAAATTTTGATTGAAATCATATCGATTGGTTTTTCATGGAAAAAAAAGGAAATGTCTATGCAAAATTAAAGACGGATTTTTTGATTTTTGAAAACTAGCAAAACTTTTCTCTCGCATTTTTCCCTACTGGAAATACAAAATGCTCATAATTGTTAGTATTATTATTATTATTATATTAACAAAACCAAAGAAAAAATGCGGCAAATCCTGATCCTCCAACTATATTCTCACGGGACCTTCAAGTGTGAGAAGATTCAATTTGGGAATAACTTTGATTTTTGGAATTAAGAAAGGCCTAGGTAAGAGTAAGCGGTTAATTTTCAAGTACTTTAATAGAGAGAAAAGTGTGAAACATAATCGGTCACAGCTGTCCACTGAGATGGCGACAATTCGGCGCCTTCAACCTTTCTCTTCTTTCTTGCTCACAACGTGAGTATTAACTGTTGGGAAAGACAGCATCATGTTGTAATTGTTTAAATGAAATCATTAATTACGACAACAGTCTTCCGGTAGGTTTAGAGAATGGCGAAAAGAAGGAGATGAAGGGAATGTTTGTAATCGACCGATGAAATGTTTGGGGTTGCTTTCCTCCGGAAAGTTTATCAGGCGATAGCTTTCAATACGCCCTTTGGAGCAATGATAGATAAATTAGCTCTGACAAATAGAATTCCGATAAAATATTAACACATCTTTTCACGTATGTGAAGTGAATTCGATGTGTAATTTTGAGCACATTTAAGATATTACAGAAGTTACGTGAAAAAGAAGGAAAGTAACTGCTATACAAATCTATCACACACGTTTTCCATTTTCCTACTTTATTAGCACAAAATAGAAACATAAAATAGTAGAATGAAAATTTTTCATATAGACAAGCAAAACTACCGGCGGACGGGCTGGCGGGAAAATAAAACGAGGCAGGAAGACAATAAGAAGAGATGGTGAATGGAGAGAGAGAGAGAGGATAGAAAGAAGAAAAAAGGAAAAGGGGAAGAGGTTAAGAATGATACAGGTCATAAATAATATCACAAATTTTAATGAAAATTTCTTTTTTTAAATGAATTTCGTTATTATCATCGTAATGTAAAGGGGCTGACGGATTTTTCCATTAAACTAATTAACTCATTTTTTAGTGTTATTAGAAAAAAAAAAGCGGAAAAGAGAGAGAGAGAGAGAAAAAAAAAAACAAACAAATAATGTTCACGGCTATTCAGTCAAATGACGAGAAAAATTAGAATTTGATATAAATCAAATACATTTTGCATCAGTTTTTTACGCACATTTTTGTCGGCATCATTACCTTATGAGAAAAAATATTACCCTTACGGGTAGTAATGAGGATGGAAATGCAAGGAAGGGTCGAAAGGTTTGGGTATTAATGTAGTTAAATGATTATCGATAATTAACTAATTCCTAAATGTTATCTCCACGAAATGACCCCATACTACATGGCATTATCAGACATTTTCTATTATTAACATTGATCTTTCTAAAATTTTTTGGCGTTATGTTTATTACCCAATTATTTGAACAATCTGCATGAAACATATATATTAAGTAAAATGCAATTCTACACTATCTCGTCTTCCTTACTTCCCTTTTCCTCTCTCTTTCTCTCACTTTTCAACCCTTTACAGATTATTCATTTTCATCTTTTGTCTCTTAAAATTGACAACTTATTTTAACTTACTTCAAATAGAAGTTAAAAAAATAGCTCACTTTTTTATTTATTTTAAATAATAAAATAACTTATTTTTTACACTGTTAATATAATTTGTTTTAAAATAAGTTAATTTTTTTATGTATTATTGAATATTCTCATTTAAAAAAGAAAAAAACTAGCAGTCTGTTTAGTTTCAGCTTGTTTAATTATGTTTGCAAAGCAAATTAGAAACAATCGTTTATAGCTAATTTATTCTAATTAAATGTATCGTTAAATTGCGCTTGTTATCATGCGAATAACCAAAAAATACTGGGAAAAACTTCTTAGTGTCAAAGGTTGCAGCAAATCTTATTTTTGAAATCCATGAAACTCCATCTCATTTTTTCTTTTTTACAGCGTTGAGAAGTATCAAAATTTAAAATATTACAAGATTTCCAACATTTTATGGTTTTTTATTAATTATCTTCACAGTCAATTTTTTTTTCCTTTTTTGTCTTTTTGCCTTCATTATTTACTGTGATAATATTCATTTCTGATGTCTATAATTTGTGCTAGAGACGAAACAGCATGATTTTTCACATGAATAAGCTATTGATGTAATATTACTCAGAAAAAGAAAATTGCTAACTGATAGTTATTTTGCAAATATTATTATCATTACTATTACTATCACTATTATTGTCTCAATGCATAGGATTGTTAAATGATGGAAAATATTAATCATTGATGTGAAGTTTGCGATATCAAATATAATTTACTTGCATCTACGAAATAATCTATAGAACTCTTTTCCCTTAATATAATATTGCAATTGTGTTTGTTGATGAAATTTAATGAAAAAAGAAAAAGGGAAAAAGAAAAGAGGATAGCAATCTTAGCGATGAGTGTCCAAATTTTCAATATAAAATACTGAGTGACATAAAAACAAACAGATTGAAGGAATGCTAAAAATAATGAGATGTGGGATGCTTGATAAGAAATGAAAGTCTAATTTAGTTTATCAATAATTCACAACTAAAATTAAAGTTAGCTGCTAAAGCGCTACATCCAGTTGCTGTGCTCTTTAATAGAATATGAGTTATTTGTAAGCAGAACGTATGTGCTATTTGATGTCTCAATGTCAATGTCTATTAGTAATATGTTCATCAAGTGCATTGGCTTCTTCAGCACGAGAAGTTGCTCATCCACGTGAAATACCGCATCATCATGAATACGTTGGATTGCTCATACCTGAACATATTACTAATAGCCTTGTAACATCTACAGTTCTAGAGGAAATGCCTCTTCAGGTATGCATTTTTTAAATATGTTATCACCACCATTTTGTTATCGTTATAGCAATTATCCAATGTCCAAGAGTATATGTCTTTCAAATAAAATGGAAACTTATGTTGATTTGGTATATATATATATATATATATATATATTTATATCTCATAATTAGCAATTGCTTTTTCATATTTGTTCTTTTTTCTTAAAGTTTCATTTTTATTGACAAGAACAATTCAAAGTTGCTATGATTTTGAAAGATTAACGGCATATTTGAAATATGTATTGGATTTCACATTTACTCTCAAAATCTGTCATGAAAATGAGATAGTCCACAGATGTCATCAGATAATTATTACTGAGCAAATAGAGCTTTTGAAAGATGTCATACTTTAGCGTCTTTCGTGGCTTTCAACTACCACCTGTAAAAATAGGAACTTTACAGGCGCGAACTACGCATCAGCCAGTAATTTTGACACATGCACCGGATAGACGTATTACAAAACAAAATGAAACTGGAACAAGCGTAAAGATCTAAGGTTATTGGTTTTCTGCTAAAACAATGTCAGTTCCATGATCCATTCAGTACTGTATAGCTTACCATAGCAATATTTCCTAAATCTTTACCCGTAACTCTAAATTTTGCTGATATGAACTACTTACGTGTAAAGAAGTAGTCAAGGATTTCCTTCCCAGGAAAAAAAAACGAAAGATTAAATTAGGATAAAATTCTTTAGAGTTTCTCTAAAATTCTTTAGACTTTTCTTTCTTAATTCTTTAGAGTAAAATAAAGTGCCCGTTACCACTAAAATACTACCACGCTTTACTCTATTAATGTCAGTTAGTTATTGATTTCTTGTGTACACTGAAATGGCTTAAAAAGTACTTTCACACCTGTCAACATGACTTGGATTAATTTCTTCCTTTCATATTACTTCTTCCCGTTTCAGGATCTGTTTTCCAAAGACAGCTCAAGTATTTCCTTTAGAAGGACCTTGGTTAAGATGTACAGGATCAGATCGATAAGCAGGACATTAGTTAAGTATACCAAACTAAAACCATGTTAAATGAAAACATTTTATTTGAAGTGTTGCTTTTTAGCATTATTCCAATATCTGAGTAATATCACTCAGATGACGACTCCACGGAATAGAAAAAATAAATGCCATATATGAACAAAAAATTCATGAATACATCAATAACATAACAGTGAGCTAACTTTATAGAAATACTTTGCAAACTAGCTATTATCGAAAAAGCACCGAGATGAAACAAGGTACATGAGTTACATTAACACATAAAACGATCAAGAGTTCCAAATCTCATAAAAAAACCAATGGCAATAAAATGCAGTATATTATTAAAGTAACAGTGATCTTATATCAGTGGCAACTGAAAAAAAAAAAAAAAAAAACCTAGTAGAAATTGAACCTGTAACATATGATTAACTTTCATTAACAAAAAAACTGAAGTGAAAAAAGATTAAGCACAACGGCCGATAGTTAAATATTGTATGACTGCTCCAGTATATCTGAAACAACTTCGAATTATTACCTTGCTTTCTAGTAAAACTGAGCAATAAAAAAAAGGAAAAAAGTTGACTGTAACACGTACAAGTTTATAAAATTAAGCAGCAATCTTACAGAAACATCTTCCAAGTTCTCACAAAGTTACTTTCAATAATCGGTCGAACTCTTTAAACTCCCACCAGTAAATCTGCAACAAAGAACAAACTAGTTATCCAGAGAGCTTAGAGAACTTCACATCAAGTCGCAGTTTGCGTTTCGCAAATGATCTTTTGTGCTCGTATCTCGTGCTCGCACAAAACGTGTGATGTATTTACTTGCTGAACTGAAATATGGAGTTGCATAATGACGTCTGATAACACTGCGCATGCATAAATCTGCACCGGAGGCGAACGACCTTACCTGAAATAATATGGCATTTAAATGATGACGATATTACTGCAAATGTTCATTACATAAGGATCACTGATTTCAAAAAAAAATTTCAATGTGTTCTACTTTAGTAAGGTATGATTTAAAAAATGTTCCTTTACTGCTTTCAATTAGGAATAGTTGAACGTGACAATAGACGGTATTCAAAAAGAAAAAAAGAAGACCACTTCTACTAAAATGCTGTTCAGGATTATAATGTCAAGCCTATAAGACACTAAAATCAAAGGTATGAGTTTCACTGTTCTGATATTTTTCACGAATACAAATTGTCTCACCGACCATACACTAACATAACCATTATTAAAGTCTCAATCCTCAAAAATGTTAGTACATACAACTTTTACTTGAGCACTTTTAAAAAAATGCAAAGTCATCTCATGAATAAACTGTAAATACCCAACAGTTACTTTTAACTGGAGAAATAAGGGAAGGAGTAATCGATCGATAGCATGTACATTTGAAATATTCTTTATGATAGCTCGACAACAGAGATCTTGCAAAGAGGCAACTGAAAATGATGCCTATTAGTACGTGGAATATGAAATAATCGATTAAACTGTAGAAAAAATACAAATATTCTGGTATTCAAATATCAATAGTAAACCTTGAGCACACTTCCACAACCGATGCATCCCGTTTCTCGAAATGACCAAACGTGCTAACTCCGTGATACTTTCATGTACATTAAAATACGCTAATGTTGAGATCTGCAATAATAACTTTCATTTTTCATTTTTTTAAAATCACGATAAGCTGCGCTGTGTCGGACACTCCTTTATTAAATTTTATAAAATAAAAGAGAAAAAAAAGGTGACCTCGAAATATTGCATATTCCTTTTTCGGGCAAAACATTCCGCTTCACGGCGCGGAACAGCTCGATTGAACTCTAAGTGAAGCCTATTGCCAATTAAAATCTTTGGGACACCAGGTGCATGCTGGAAACACTGTATCATACACAAAAACATGCACGATGAAATACTACTTCTTTCGAAAGAGATTTTGCTGACTAAATTGCAATAAAAGCCAGATTTTAGCAAACTTTAAACACTTCCATACTTCTCTTGACACTAGAACTGACCGATTTGAACAAAATCAGGTGACTGAGAAATTTCCCCTAGTTTTACTTATCAAAAGAAGTTAAACAGTATAAAACCTCATCAATTTCAGCAAGCCATCGACGTATACCGTCAAAAGACCACCTATTCGTAATGTCATAAACCAATAAAATGCCTTGAACTCCCCGTGAATATGATTTTATAATGGTAGAGAAACGTCCTTGCCCCGATGCATCCCTGAAACTGCGAAAACTGCTAGTTATCCTTGTTTATTTTCAACGAATAAAACCATGTCATTTCATCACTCTCCCTATAAAAGTCAAAACAAATAAAAAACAAAAGAAAAAAAACCAACCATAATTCCAATCGCACGAATTTCCCCTCCAACAGTATTACTGTTGTCTTAGGAACTGCAAACGCTAAAAACAACATTTCTATTAAACTTATTTCCATAGAAACTAGCAACCAGCACGTATTAAAAAGTGCGGCAAACTGTGACAAAAATTGATTGTTTTTAGGAAGTCATATATTTCTCAAAATAATTCTTTAAACTAATGAAATGAAATAGTTTTGGTAAATACTGTATTAAAAGTTTTAAATTAAAAGATTCGAAATAAATAATACCTTAATTTGATAATAGCAAAAAGTATTCCTTAGAGATACTCTAGAGACAAAACAACTTCTGTAAGGAATGTATAATTTTAAAAAATTTTCTTTTCGATTTATATTTGCATAAATAAATGCAAATAAGACGAGAAAACATTGCCACGTTTATGGCGGTTTCTAAAAATATTGAAGGACTTGGAAGCCTTAGAGAATAAAACAATAAAAGATATTATCGACAGTATGAAGTTAGACTTTGCAAATGAGTTTCAATAAATGAACGAGTCACCTAACTTACTACAACTTTCAAAATAACACATTAAGAATTACGTATGAAAAGAGCATCTGGAGTGTATGAGACTGATGGCCCCAAAAAGTCCGCTATTTCATCTTTGCCAACATCTGAGTCACCAACGAGCAGGAATTTAAGCATACATTCATGCTCTTCTCGACATAACTCACTCGCTCCGATACGCATTGCATCTAACCTGGAATACTTCAACACCCTTTATCGCTAATGAAATACGTCATCCTCACCCTTCATCATTTACCTGGGCGGAAAAGACCGCTCCCGTACGACCGCTTCCTCCACGCTGCTAAAAATAATCATTTACGCATGCGGATTGACTGAGTCATTGTGAAAAGCTACCATCCTGCCTGCAATTTATTAATGAATTGGATTGAAGGTTTGTGTTTGGGAAATTTGCATATCAGCTTTTTCCATCGTGATATATTGTAGCAAGTTATGGTTGCGTGAATGTTTAAAGAGACACTGATGCATATATAATTAGCCAGAGTTAATTGATCCTGAATCTCCATAGCAAATGACCTATGATGACACATTCTTTTTGCAATTTAAGCCAAAAATAATTCCCGATATTGTTTTATTAGAACAATTTAAAATTCAATTTCATATTTCATTATAGCTATTCAAAAATTTGGCATATTTGTTCCTTCTAGTAAAATCTCAAATGGGATTGATGGGATTGTTCGATGATAAAAAATGTAATTTTTGTATTTTGTGTTTATAATACTTGAAATCACCGTCAAGAGGCATGAAATAAGTCTATATGTGTGTTTGTCAGGTATTTTTAGATTATAGTGTTAATATTAGTCATTAGTATATAATCTATGTTTTTGTTAGAATCGCTTAAACTAAGTGGAATTCAGTACAATCCCTTCACCACCCAAACGTTAATTCTTTCGTAAGTGTGGCATATCTCTTTCAACAGACGCATTTGTGATATATTTGAAGGAAAGTCGATCGACCCTGATCTCAAGCTTCCACATCGATCTTATCTCGAGCTCATCCTCTCTCAACCACTTTCCTTTTCTCAGCAGCTGTTGATAGTTCTCAGTAATTGTTTAGCAATCAGCCAAAAAGCTATGCTTTCTATTACTTTCTTTCCTTTTCCTTTGTTATTTTTTGCAAATTGGACATTTACCTTGTTCAAATTAATCCATCGGATATTTCATAAATCCTTTGATCCTATTGTTTTGGTACAACAGCAATGACTCTAATCATTCTTGGGCAGTGCCTTTTCTGTCAGCTTGAGACTTCCAGAAGTGTACTTTTATCCGTCTTTGAATTCATCCTATTGAAACGTTGCTATCCCGTGGTTCACCGATGGCACGATCGATACTGTATGCAGTGCTGATTTTACAGTTGAAAAGGGCAGCTAGAATGGGATGAGAGTGTTGATGGAAGCATGTAAATGTATTTCAGAGTTGCGTTTACTAGCAAATAACAGTAATTGATTGTGTTGTAGGATATAGTGTCTGATGGATGAATCACTCTTGGTAGGAATGAATTTGACATCACAATGAATGAATGGCCTTTCACAGGGCTACTACTAGTAAGGGTCTGCATAACAGAATATGAGGCAGTTAGGGGGACAGCCTATCAAATGACTCAATACGCCTTACTAGAACGATGAACCTGGTCGAATGATGTATCACTTTTTCGATATTTAATCTTTTCTCCCTTTTTCCTCTCTTTCTTCCTCAGTATTCATTGATAATTCATATATCTCTCCCTCAACTACATATGTCTCCCTCTTTTACAACTTCTCGAGCTCCTATTTACAAAATATTTAAATCTCTAATGCTTACTTCTTGTTTTGCTTTTTTTTTTTTTTGCAAGGCTTTCCTCAAGGGTTAAAATTAAGAAGTGCTGTTGCAGAAAAGATCCAAATCGTGTTGCCTAACATTTTATTTTGTAAGCACATTTGATGACGTCGACGGAAGAATATGTTCAAGGTTATTGATAATTACTTGTTAACGTTCTTGTTAATACTTTAACCTTTGATTCTATCCTTCTGAGAAAGGAATGTCTTTTTTAAGTGGTCTAAACACGGGCACCTGTTGAATAACTTCAAAGAGAAGCCATATATTCAAAGAAGATTTTGAAATTCCGGAACTTTATGGGTGTATACTTGTATTCTAAGTATCCAAGATTGAATCTTTTTAACTTACCCTCAAATCTTCATTTATGCAATTTTCAGATGCAACGTTTGCCTCTTTGCCGCGTACTGTTCGAGGGATGCCGTTAGGGTTACATGCTAGTCCAGATGGCCAGAAATTGATTTACTGCAACGGCAATTCTGTTTATATTCGTAGTATCCAAGTGATTTAATGAAGATTTTATCCTTTTCGTGAATTTCATTGATAAGCTGTTGAAGAGTTTGTTAAATACTTGCTAGAAATAATGCTTAACTCAGATTATTAGCTTCTAGCATAGTGTTTTTATTGCACAAAATATTGCTTTCTTGGGAACTGCCTTAGTCACTAGTTCTATATTATAGAATCCAAAAGAGTGTGAAATTTATACCGAACATGCGAATCCTACAACCGTGGCAAAGTATTCTCCATCCGGTTTTTATATCGCATCTGGTGACCAGTCCGGTAAAATACGTATCTGGGATGCAACACAGCCTTCACATATTCTAAAAGCTGAATACCCAATATTGTCAGGTCCTATTCGTGACATTGCATGGTCCGACGATAGCAAAAGGATAGCAGTAGTTGGTGAAGGACGCGAAAGGTTTGCTTAGTTTTCTGAACTGGTGACATGCTAGTGTCAGAATTCAGTCTTTTTAAAAAATATTCTCTAGCAATAAGGTTAAAAGTTTCAGGTTTGGCCATGTTTTCCTTTTTGATACAGGAACCTCCAATGGGAATCTTTCGGGTCAAAGCCGCACAATGTCAAGTATCGATTTTCGTCCAGCTAGACCCTATAGACTTGTGAGCGGTTCAGAGGACAATACCGTTGCACTGTTCGAAGGACCTCCATTTAAATTTCTGACCGTAAGTCTGTAATCTTAGAATATAAGATGACTGTGTAAGAATTTAAATTTTCTAAGTTGTTTTTATATTCTTATTTTTGTTGCAGTTGTTTCATGAACATACTCGTTTCGTTTATTGTGTTCGGTACAACGCTGATAGTACACTGTTCGCTAGTTCAGGGGCAGATGGAAAGGTGTGGTTTGTTACGAGTTTTGCTGTTTTATGTTGATGCTGAAGAACTTCTTTGATTATTTTATCTGCTGAGTTGTAATTTTGTATTTGTCATGAGTTCTAGGTAATACTGTACGAAGGAACAACTGGTCAAAAAGAAGGCGAACTTATGGATGATCAATGTAAAGGTGTTGCACATGCTGGAAGCGTTTTTGCATTATGTTGGTCGCCTGATGGACAGCGCATTGCAACTGCATCCGGTGATAAAACCATCAAAATTTGGGATGTCTCTTCGAAAAAATTGGAGAAGTCAGTCATTATTTGAGCACTTTTTTTTGCATACATATCACTCTTTTTTTTCTCTCTATGTTGTAAGTACTTCTTCGCGACGCCTGTGCAATTTTTTTGAATCTGCGGAATTCATATGACTTGTCGGTTTCTTTGTCTTCAGGACTTTTGTGATAGGAAAAAATGTCGATGATCAACAGCTTTCCATCATTTGGACGAAAGTTTTTCTTGCTGGAGTGAGTCTCTCGGGTTTCATAAATATTCTGGATTTAGAGAGTGGTTCTGTATCAAAAGTTCTGAAGGGGCATAACAAACCGATAACAGCTCTTACGGTATGCTCGGAAAAAGCATTGGCTTTCACAGCGGATTTTGAAGGAAATATCAGTAAGTTTCCTTATACTAAAAAAGTTCCGCTTTCGAACCCTCTGTAACCACATATCAGTTTTTTAAAATTAATGCATATGAAGCTATTCACTTTCATATTAGTCTCAGTGTTTTTAATGCAAATTCAGTTCTCTTTATCGTCGGCAAGATAATGATAGTCAGTATTTCTTTTATGAACTTAAACATTTTTTTATTCCTAAGAAGTACTTAAATATTCAAGTGCGTGTTGTTTCCTCTAAAAGACATATTCGTGTCTCATGTACAAAAGTAAAAGCTCTGTTACAGCACGGTGGTGCCTTAACTCAGGAGATTCAGAAAGGTTGTTACCTGCTGTACACAGTTCACAGGTAAGAGTATTTAGCATTTTATCAATTTACTATTTTTATAATATAAAGTTGTACAGTAATCTAGATACTGGTGAGAATTTTTCGAAATTCCAGTGTTGCATGTAATTTGCTTTCATTCTTTGTACAGAAAGTATTTGGTATAGTTGTTTGCTACATGTATTATAGGTGTCAGATATGTGTCTTTCACCAAACGGTAATTTGGTATCGATTGGTTGGGATGACTCGATTGCATTTACTTCTTTTCCTGGTTCATTAGGTGGGTCTTTTTTTCAATGAAACTAGAATTTCGATTTTACTTGAACTTGATTCATTTGACTACACCGTCCTTTTTTATAGAAGTATACAGTGAAATGTTTCAGCCATTATTATTTTTAGATAACGTTCAGTCAAATAAGGTAAAATTATCATCACAGCCGCGACAAGTTGCATTAGGTTCTTCTGGTAAGATCGCAGTTGTTGCCTGCCAGAAATCAGTTACTATTTTCTCGGATGGCAAACAAATGGTTTTGCAAAACATCGAATATGAAGCCTCTTGTGTTGCTGTTGCTCCAGATTCTAGACTTACAGCTGTTGGTAGTCAGGTAAGAATAATATTGATAGTTAGGTAAGAATATTTTCTTCAATGTTTTTTTTTTTTTTTTTCATTATTTCTTTTCAGGATGGTAAAGTACACATTTACGAGTTAAATGGCAATCAAATGAAAGAAATAAAAACGATCTCTCAAACTGGATCCATTACTTCTCTTTCATGGAGTCCGAACGGAAGTTTTCTTGTTGCAACAGATGCTAATAGAAAGGTATTTTATTTGCTTTCATGTTTTTTTTATTTTTAGTTATCTTAAGTTTGTGTTATTGGTTATAATTGGGAAATTTTTAAATTAAGTGACAGATCTCAATGCAGTAAAAGAGGCGTTGTGCAACTGTTTCAGACTTTCAGTTACTTCAAACAAGCCAGTAATATGGTTTTTTTTTTATTATATACTGAATATCAAAATTATGTCATGTGATAAATTCTTGATGCAGTTTAGAAATGATTCTGGGTAAAGAAATCGAACTTCTTCCTTTCTTCGCCGTTTCCACTAAACCTTGGCAAACTTGGCGATTTAAGCATAATATTTTTCTGGCATGCAACATAAGAGTTGCTCCTATCATTGTGTTTTAATCACATGAAATGAAAAATGTTTACAATAAGAAAAGTATTGTAGCATGAAGTTATTGCAGGTAATACCTTATTCTGTGGACAATGATTACAAATGTGTCACAGAGAAAGATTGGACCTTTCATTCAGCTCGAGTGAGTTGTTCTGCCTGGTCACCAGACAGTCGTTTTGTTGCAACTGGTGGCATTGATACGAATGTCATTGTTTGGGATTTGAAACACAGCGGAGAACATCCAATAATCATCAAAGGTAGCTATTGCTCAGTATGATCCTCTTGAATAGAAATCATGTTTTCACACTAAATTAAAGGTTTCACAGGACCCATACTTTGAATTAGATCTGAATTATTTTCCTTTACTGATTATCTCTATGTTTTTTGTGAGAACTGACTGCATTCGAACAGTATTTTTTTTTTTTCGGATCATTTTCAGGAGCGCATACAATGAGCCCAATCAATGGAATTGATTGGCTTGGTTCGAATCGGATTATTACAGTTGGGCAGGATTCAGTTTTAAAAATCTGGACTGTCAATGTGTGATTGCCGATTTATTACTATAATAGCAGCGCAACTACTTAACAGAAGACGTTTGTTTTCATTACATCTATCGCAGACTTTTGAATTAACTCATTTAAATTCCTGAAATGAGTATAAATTTATACACAAGTGCACGTACTGAACTCTGTACAATTACATTGCTAGTTGATGTGATGTACCGACTAAGTAAAGCTGTTGCAAGCGAAAATTTTAGTTCTCACTAACCATATATAATAAAGTGATAGCGGTAACGCGCATAATGGTGCTTTAAATGGCCAAGCAAAATAAAACTTAGCGTTTGTCTAACATGTCGAAGTTCTGGATTGTTTTTTAACAATTCAAAGAATTTCATATGTAAGTTTTTAATGTTAAACAGTGCGGTCTTTGGCCTTTATTTTCTCAGTTATGTGTTAGAAATATATTTGGAAATAGCTAACTTGAAATGAATGGAACTGTGAGGAGATAAGCAATACAATCTCTAATTATTCAATGGAATTGGATACTGTTAATGCGTATTTCAGTTGTTATTGTTCTTTTCCTCTGTTTCTTTTGTGGTTTGATAAATTAGCTGCCTTTTCATTTTCACACATTGGTATAGCGGCGCAAGATGTACTATATTAGTGAAACATCGATCTTTGAGAAACATATTTTTCTGGTGCGAATTTTCCATATAAACTGAGCAAGACGAATGACTAGTTTTATGACAGGTACTATCCATAAGGTTCCTGAAATAAATATAAATGTGCACAGATGCAATAATGAACTTTACATCATTACATTGTTGATTGATGTGAGACACACTGACTAAGTATGGGTAATTTACTCTGCACATCACTCGGTTACATTACGTTGCCGAAGATTTGGGAAGGGATGGGAGTGGGTTATGGAGCTGCTTGTTGTATTTACGACATGGGAATTATGGGATAAGATGATGCGGGAGGCATCGAAATTTCTGTCGAACAAAAATGTGTCTGTGCATCGCTTTGTGTTTTCTTTGTTTTGTTTTGTGTAAAAAAAAAAGTGGAAGAATAGAAAGGGAGGAACAATTACAATAACATATTTTTGTCGTTTAAATCATTAAATTTCCAAAAAAAGACTGCGTTGAGACAAAAAGGAGAGGAACCAGACATTTTCGGCCATGTCATGATTCAGACAAGTTAATTTGTTTGGCTTAATAATGTCGTTTCTTACGTTGAAGGTAGCATAATAGTAAATGCAAATGGTAACTAGTTTATTGGGAAAGTTAATTCCTTCCTATATATAATCTCGATGAAATATGTAGTTATAGCACAATAATCAAGGATAAGTCTTGTATACAACAATGGTAATTGATCTTATTTCCTGGAAAATTCCTTCAAATGGCCCAATTTGAAGATAAATTAAAATAACTGAGCATAGTTTCTTTCAAAAAGTTATTGCTATTGTATTTTGGCATAAATCGGATGCAAATTAGGTAATACTTCATTATATTCATTAAACCTAGTGGTGGTGTTTTTGCTATATATTGTGTTTGATTGAAATTTTGGAGATACGAATGATATTAAACAACTACCACATTAGCTTGGGATGTCGTTCATATAATAATAATTCAATTTCTGTTGTTATCTACTGATAATCATCATGGAATTAAATACGTTGTTGATAGCTTTGATTTATTTGCATTCAACAGTTTGTTTGCAGTTGAAATTTAAAAGGTGAAAAAAAAAAAAGGTTGAGAAAGGGAAAACAATTTACACTCGTTGATAAAGGGATTATGTTTACGTAAATGGTGGATGAGAATGCCAATTGTGGTAGGCAATAATGAATTATGGAAGTGTTAAGGAAAGGAGTTGATTTGTTCCTTCAGGATGAACGAAAGAAGGAATAAGATGTAAATGGGCGGATCAAATCCGACAGGCCTTTTTACCCCGGAAACCCCATTTAGGAGGCATAGAAGATAAAAGGGTCATGTAAAGCAGAAATCACTTTGCTCTTTCAACGGACATGACTTTTCGATTTGCCTGGTTTGTGCTGTTCATTTCTGTATGTTGCACTGAAAATGATTATCTGGAAGGATCTGGCGAAGGATCTGGAGAAGGTGATCTGTTGAATTCAGAAAATCTTTGGCAACCATCAACCATGCAACGAAATGATGATGGCAACGATGCTGTGGAATTTACCGGGACATGTATGGATAATATATTATTTTTGAGTGATCTGGGATTAAAACTTGTTAAGTTAGCAAATTTCTAGATTTTCATGCAAATATTCGTTCATTAACTCACTGATTAGTAATAAATGATGCAAATAATATAGATCCAATGAAAGAAGAATGTGGCGTGGATTTGCTATTTCTTCTGGATACGTCTGGAAGCTTGGAGCAAATTTATACACAACATATTAATTGGACCACCCAATTGACTGAAGCATTGCTAACTGATAAGGATGACGTACGTATTGCCATGATTCAGTATGCCGAAACACCGATTGTCGAATTTTCCTTTGGTACTTATCGAGATCTGCCTGATATTACTAATCATATTATGACAATTAATTTACATTCCGGTGGTACCAGGACGGGTAAAGCACTACTGGCAGCAAAAGGTGAATTGTTTAGTGAAGAGAAAGGAGCCAGGTTAGTTAAAAATTGCTCGCAATATTATTTCACCAACGGCTCCATCTATTAATTGTTAATTGGGACAATTATTTTGTAAAATAATTAATTTATGCTAATTATGAAAAATACGCTGAATACTTCATAGTTGATTTATTGTCACAGATATTCCTCACTTTATTTATGCCTTAACAAATAGAAGCTTAAACTTTATCATTTCCAAAGTAATCTTTTCAAATTAACCGGATAATTGCAATTTTAGGAAGAAGTATTACGGAAAAAGATTTTTGATACATTTTGTAAATTTCAAATAAATAGTTATGAGAATTGAAAGATATATTTTAGCACATTGTTTCAACATTTGAGATGTAGGTGATCCAATTTCAGAAAAAATGCTAGCAAAATTATTGTTCTATTTACGGATGGATTATCTGTCGATGATCCTATAAAGCACGCTCAGCAGTTACGTGAAATCGAAAAGATCAAAATTTATGTTGTATATGTTGGGTCAGACGGTTTTGAACAGGAAATGAATCGCATTGCTGGAGGAAGATCGAATGTCTTCGGGTTCGCTCGCTATGCTTTATTTATTTCATAAATTTATGTAAATACTAACTTGATGGTAATTTAATACATAATAGCACTATTAAAATCGGATGATTCCTAACGATATTCTTAACTATTCATTAAAATTGAGCGAACTTTTAAACTAAAATATTGTGACGTAATGCTTGATGATGTAACAGTGCATTTTAAGGAATCAAGTCGGCGAGCTTAAAATTTTCTGTTAGAAAGAATGATTGAGGTAAAAAAAGACGAGAAAAAGAGTACAATGATGATGACACTGTTGACCGTTATAACTGATTTGAAATAGAGAATCAAAGTAGTTTTCTTGATGGATTGATGGTGTATATTTACATTTTCAAAAACGATCAAATTAGTGAAAGTGACTGATCTCTGAATTTAACCTATAATTCTTTTTTTTTTAGAAAATGAATAAAATGATGGCTGAATTATAATGCATTGATTTAAAATAATATTACTTGAAAAGTCTACCAGTCATAGTTTTGATGAAGTAACATTAATTAAATTGGTCATGTCCTTTCTTTTGTGGGTTAATTTTTAGTGAAAGCCATATTTTGACGTAATCCATCTGTTTATAGGATATCCTAATTCACTTATTACTAGTTTAGTTATTTCTTAGAGTAATGTTTAAATTACCGAGTAGATTTGGAGTAAAATGAAAACTTGGAAAGTGAGGATCGTTTTAGTTTAAGCGTACTTTATCCACAGAATTTAAAACCGTAATTAACGCTTTATTACAAATAAATGAAAAATTTGGTATAAATTTTAATTGAATTGGATGATATCTGATTAAATTTTAATTATAGTCCGTGAAATAATCAGGAAAGAGAGATTTGAAAATGAATCTAAATAGGCAATTATCTTATGTACAGTTGTATGAAGAGATACAGATGAATTGGACTTTTAAAGTTGACATTTGAACAATGTCATTTATTTGTAATAAATGACATTGTTCAAAAACAGAACTCGTAACTATTTACTGCTTCCTTCTTCTAGTATTTTCATTTGTTAACATTGTGTTTTGGATCATACGATTGTTGTTTTGAAAGAAAATTAAACTGATCGTTTTTTAGATCCAATGAATTCACTCGATTAAAAAAGACATTAGTCGCTGAAGTGGAAGATGCCGAAATGTGCGAATCTCAGAAGGAATGGGAAATACCAACAGCTGCTATAAAAACAATCACAAATACAACAGAGATCGAATCAGATCAGATTACAACATTAACAAAACTTTATACAACTAGCAGAACACGCACGTCAACATATCCTACATCACATAAATCATTAACGAAAGATACACAATTGAAACATAAGAGCAAGAAAATTCTAGCCAAGCAACAAACTGCATCCAAAGATCAGGTATGATTGAGCCTGCTATATCTTTGATAAATTAGATTCATCTGAAAATGTTTCATTATCCCTTCAACTTAGCAATTCTTGAACTTCATCAGCTTTTGTATTGAACTGAACATTTTAATGCTGTAATTTCAAATTGCAAGCATTAGTGAGTTCCATTTCATAGTTTAATAAATTTCTATATGAGTGAAGCTTGAAAAAGTATGACTTAAGGACTAAAAATTGAAAGTGTAGTGAAAATAAGGTATAGAAAAAGGTAATGAAATTTATGCTTATAGGTTGTGAAACTTTCGGAAACAAATGTACATGATAAAATTAATGATGAAAATATTGATGAAGCACCGATCAATATAGTGAGTGCTGATGAACAGTTTGTAAGAGCTATAACCATTCCTCAACAATCGATCTTCAATAAAGATGTTAGAAATTTTGATATTCTAATCAGATTATTCAGGTAACCAAAAAGATTTTTACTGTACGTTGACAGTAGTAGTGGATATTTGATGATGCTTTAGTCCTTTTAGTATTGATGATATGAGAAATTAATTACGACAGTGAATTTGCAACATTCACTAATATTTCTATTCCCAACATTTTAATCAACTACAAGACTTACTAAATTTGCAGCGAAATAAAAGTGATAAAGAAATTGAAAATAGTGTAACCCTTCCTACGTTAAACAAGAAGCTACGAAAGGAACAACCACGAACAGAAGTGATAACATCGTCTACAACCCATTCTTTTACTGAAGGTCGAGAAATTTCACAATCAGTTGATCATCCGAGTAATAAGACGACTTTATCGCCACGGCACGTCATATTTTCGAATTGTTTAAGCGTTTTTACATAAATTTAACGTTAACAGAAACAATTTTCAGTTTGCTTATAAACAAATCTTGAATTTCCTTTTCATTAATTCCTAATTATACCACTTCTCAACCTTTTATATATCTAAAAGGAGTACCCAAATAAGCTAGTCGTTTGCTGTCATCCTGTTTGGTACATTTTAAGCCGCTTCGTTACTTTGTAATTATTGATATACGCTTTTTCTGGATGGTATTTCTGTGGTTTATTAGCTGAATAATATTATTTCAGACATGTGACAATGCAGCACATTTCAACTGCAAGAAAGTTAGGAAAAACAGGATCAGCCGGAAACATCGAAAAAAGTCAAGGTAAGTAAGGCTAGTGTTGAATAACATCGAATAATTCATTATTCATTTTTTTAGGACAGTGTCCACGAGAAATTTTATTCATTGTTGATAGCTCTGGATCAGTACAAAGGATATACGATCAACAAAAAGAATATCTTTTGTCACTACTCAATGAATTACGAGTAATTATTTCCTACATAATCCATGTTTTTTCAGACATCTTTTACTGATCATTATATTTTAAATATTTATGTGATCGTGAGAAACGATCACATAAATTAGAATGCCATGGAAATATGCTAAAGTTTCTCCAATATATACATTAAAGAGTTCAAAGTTAAAAAATAGAGCGAAGTTTGCTAAAAAATATTCTGTTTGTTATATCTCAATCATTTATGCCTTCCTCACCTGATTGAATATTTTGATCAAAGAAAATTCTTTTTTCTTGTAAGATTGGTGAAGGCAATCAACGAGTTGCTTTGATTCAATTCGCTGGTAGTTCACATCAGAGAGTTGAGTGGACGTTTGATACATATAAAGATATTAAGGATATCGCGGAAGCGCTGAATCAAGTCCGACACTTCACCGGTATATTATTTTGATGGAAAAATTGTCCGGAAAAAACTTGTTAATTTTAAGAGGACAATTATTTAATCGAATTTTAAATTTACTTTTAGTTGGAAATATTGAAATTAAAAGAAACACATTTCTCGCACTTCTCACAAGTGAAAAAGATATATAGATGAGATACTGTGAAAGCTCGTTTGTGTCCATATGAAGAGTAAGACAGTATACAGAAAAGTTATCTTTAAAACAGAATTTCTATTGTCACTTTTACAGATGAAACATCCTACCCTAATGTCTCTTGCTGCTTGTATCTTCAGTTTACGTTTATAATTCAAGTATGTTGAAAGAAAACAATTATTATTAAGGGACAACATATATCGGACGTGCACTGGAAAATTCAATTGGTGTTTTGGAAACTCGGAGACAAGGAATACCAACAACTGTAATACTTGTAAGCGATGGGTACGCCACTTCCTTGTATTTTGAATGGGTCACTTCCGGAATTTTACAGTTGATGATGAACAACAGCACAGCTTCGAATTGTTATATTTACAAGAAGTATAACATAAATGAGCTCTGAATGATTAGAGAAAGTTCTCCGTTAAACTTATACATTGCAGCTTCTCGCAGGATGATGCTAGTAAGCCCGCAGAAGAAATTCGCCGAATGTCCAACGTTGATTTTTATGCTGTTAGTATGTCAGAGCTTAACAATTTGTGAGTTACTTTATTGATCTTTACTAGTCAATTCCATTGACCACCGTTGAATTAGTAATGACTTCCCTCATCCTCAATGCTTCCCAAGCAGTTCCTTTTTCATTCCCATGTACTATTAGCTGAACACCACGACATGGGTGCCTAGCAACCTGTTCATTCCCACTTTACTATATGAAATAAGTGATTCTTTACCTCCTTTTTTTTTATAAAACAATTTTTTAGTGAATATCTTACAAAACTGACGGACGATCCATCAAAGGTATATGTTAGACCACGAAGTGAAGACCTGAAACGGGATTTATTGAGCTTGATTCACTGTAGAACATGATCAGAAACTTTAATTTATTCACTTTATTAACTGCAAATTTGGTGTTATTTCAAAACTACATTTCATAGAATAAACAATCAAATGTCACATAAACATTTTGAAAGACAAACGAAGTAGAGGCAATAAGAAACGAAAAAAAAAAAAAAAAAAAACGGGAAAATTATGGAAGAATATGATAAGCCTCATCCTTAAAATTTATCCCGAAAGAAGACTTTGCAACCTTGCAACCTGTTGGCGCTTTATGAAGAAAAGGTGCTGAAAGTTGCAAATAGTATAAGCTCGAATATGAAATGTATCACAATTGTCGAGAGGTAGTTCTGCTAGTAGTATACAAAATCTCCATTACAAGCTTTGCCTCGACGCCTTGTACGATATTGCACAGCTGATGCCATGTACTGCTTGGATGCTACTGCTTCCTGCATTGATTTGCATAACTGATGATAATTTTTAACTGCCTCGAAGAAAATTTGAAAGGAAAATGCTGAGGTATAATGAGATGAGAAAATTCAAATAAAAGGAAAACATGCGCAACAAACATAAATTTACCCACCCTTGCATTAGAATAAAATTTTTTCGTGACGATTTTTTGTGCTTGGTAAGAGGTAAACGAAGCTTCAATATTCCCATCTTCAGAATGTTTGAGCATTGACTTCGACTTAGCAGTTATTATCTCATTTGTCGACTCAGCGTAAGCGGTACTGGCTTAAAATCGATACTGATAGCAGAATGAAATATTGTGACTGGAAGGAATTCCATAATTAATATAGATATCACTACCAGAAAAAAAAAATCGTAAGAAAATACTGCTTGCTAACATACCCGTAGAATTACAATTTCCGTACGAACTTATTGTGTTTCGAACAGATGGTACCTGAAAATCAATACATAACGGAAAAACACACATAAAACATTAAGAAACCAATTCAAACGTGAAAGGAAAATTTCTAAAATGAATGGATACCGGAATTAATTAGTAAAGACAGTTAATAAGATCAGGAAATGCAAAAGCATCCATATAATGGTAGATATCTTTGATACATGCCGCTATAAATTTAAGTATTCATTTTTAGAATCCATTACATATGTTTAAAAAAATCCATTTCAAAATGGGCCTTTCATCAACTGTATTAGCCAACCAATGTTAAAGACGCAAATAAACTTCCTAATGAATCATATCATTAAATTACAAAATCCTTGCCTTAACATGCTCCGCATGAGGAAATGACACTGTCGAGGATAAATTTGGGTTTGGATAAGTAGTTGGTGGAAGAGCTATATCAGATAAAGGAGTCTCTTTGGTCGAACTAGTTTGAGGGCTTTGTTCGGAATCCGAATCTATTTCCATATCACAAACCTATAAGATAACTGCACTGATATTTTTTCTTGATAAATTGAAAAGATTTTTTTATCCGAACTCTTTCATAGGCACATTAACTCTTCATTAATAAAAATCACTGTACTTCATGGTCTTCGACGGGTTGCCGCGATTGTACATTTTCAAGCAGTTCCTTTTTTGTTAGGCCAAGAAAAGAATCAACATAGCGGCCAATTTCTTCCAATAAGCTACATAATGTTTCACCAGCATCCAAACCCTAAAACCACTCAGCTGCTCCATATACACGCAAAATTACATTTCCGCATTCAAACTAATTTCAATAAAAATTGAAAAATGCTGAAGGAAAACAATAAAAAGAGACACATACCTCAGTGATCATAATGCCATACTGAGTACTATTAAGAGCAAAAAGCTTCTTCCTGAGTATATCGAGTGCATTGTTTTTAGTGAGATTTGATGCAGATGTTTTCAATAAATCGTCAACAATTTCTTCAGCATTTAATGCCACCCTTTGGTAACGATCCTATAACACTGTTAATGTTTCTCGATACGGGAGCTGAACATAAAATATCACTATAAATCTATCATTTCCCATTAAATGTAACCAAATAGTTCATGTATTGTGAAATGACAACAGTCATTTCAACACAAGGCGGTAATATTGATGAAGTCCAAAATGTATGATGAAGATAATGTCGCATGCTTAGTGAAATTCAGAAAGTGGAATTATTACACTTTAATAACAACTGTTGGGTTTTAATCAAATGCTTAATCCCTGACAAAGTCATTATCATCAAAAAGAACTGTCATAGGATAATGAATAAAAACTAAATGATTGCCTCGTTGCTCGTTCTGAAATTACTATAATAAAATGCTACAATTATTTGAAAAATTTGCATACAGTAGCAGCGATTGAGGTGAAAATTTTTCGTCTCAGTTTATCAAATGTGCCTTCAGATTTAAAAGCGTCTACGACTTGGCGTACTTCGCTCTGCTCTACTTTCGTCACAAGCATTCACAGTCCTTCCTTACGCATCCTAGAAATTACTGTTATAAATGAAATAATTTGAGATAAACGATAACTTAATGCGTTACAGAGCTATATAAACATATAAGCTGAGTGTCAAAAAACAAAACACAATTCTGTCCCTTACACTCTTTTCGAGTCGCAAATGAATTACACCTTTGGTAAAATATTGAGCAGAACTACTTTAGGGAAAAAGGAAGCAAACTTGATCACTAAAAGCCATCCAAACATCCCGCCAGTTCCTTGCCGGTATAACCGAATAATTCGGATTGAAAATCCCGATAAAATATCAGGACTTTTAAAAGAAAAGTTTTATAGACTGAAAGATGTATAAAAAAACTAACTACACACACAACAACGGTCTATTTATAAAAAGTACAGAAATTACCTGTGATCGAAAAACAACTAGAGATTCAGAAACTGCTCCTCCAAATACGAAAATGAACTACCCGTCACCCAGTTAAAACCCAACACACAAACCAGGCAGTGCATAAAGTGATCATAGCCATACTGTGTGCTACTCTGAGCGACTCGGTCTGTTTAACATTTGTATCGAAAAATCTTGTGTTGCATGAAAGGGGAGTAACGGTGATGTTGAATCTGTGCGATATTAGTTATAACATTTTGAGGATTGCATTAACATCTTGAAATGATAAGGACATAGCTATCTTATCACCTTCAAACATTTCATAATTCATAATTGATAATTGCACTTACGAGATGCAGTTATTATCTTTGTTCTTTTTTCACGATACTTCCGCACTGAACGTATTGCTCTTCCATGTAAATATACAAAACAATATTATGATTCTTATCGTTTTCCCTGATTCATTAAGATGACTTCTAATCACCTGAGCAATGTCAGAGAATTATGCTTGATAAAGTTCACATTTTGCAGACTTAAATTACTTTAAATATGTAAAATAAACTGAAAGTTAAAAGATAATTGTGAAATTTGTGAAAAGCAAAATTTTAGAGAAAAAAATAAGGTTAAGAGTCGACCATTAGCATAACAATTAAAATTTTATGAGAAGTTAAAACTTATGAGAAGCAGATTTTAGAAATGGAGTGGAAAATTAAATTAATGGTCCAATTATTAGTATGACATTTGCACAAACCTATGAGAAGCAAGATTTAAGGGGAAATACAGAGCAGAAAATTAAACCAATAATCTAATTATTAGCATGACTTGCGTGCTGGCAAGTGAAATATTGAGTGCAAAGTCGGATTTTCCATGAGTGCCAAGCTAAATGATAAATACATTTCCTTTTCTTTTCATTCTAATTTAATAAAGACAGATTTTTCTCATAGCCAATCTTTGAAATAACTATGCAAATAGTTAATACTATTTGAAAATATTATTAGTGCTTTTTCCGTCCATTACTGCATGTTTCATATCGTTTATAACAACTTTTTGTAGTTGCTACACTCTTATTGCTAATGAAAAAATTTTTCATCTCCAGTGATTTTCCCATTTAAAAATGATACAATGAAGGAATATAATTTATCTATTATTCTTGTCGGAAAATTTTGTTGATTGTTTGTAAGACAATCAAATTTCGTAAGAATTTCCATCTTCTTTATAATCTCACTAAATATGTCGTAAAATTAGCTTTGAATAAAATATTGATTCAGGCTGGAAATGGTCACGCAGCCAATTTACTGCAAATTTAGCAATAATTAATAATAATATCAATATTATTATTACTATTATTATTATTGTTATCACTATTTCTTTAAAAGCAACACAGTAATTTGCTTTGGTTTGAAAATAATCATAATTTACTTTGTATGCTATTATCACTAATCATTTCAAATGTCTTCGCTGCTAATTTATCATTTTATATATTAAACATTATTATTTACCTTGCATACATAGCTTTGATGGATAGCTTAAAAAAGAGTTCGGGAGAGTAAAAAAGACTTATAGTTACAAGTGACTGAAACCTTTCCTCTATTTCAGACTAATTTTCTACTAACCGACACATCACTCTGTTTATGTTGTTGATAGACTTCCGTATTATACTTCGCTTATTATACTTGATAAATCTGGCGAAAAGAGACACTTTGATTGCATTCGCCCATTCTTATGATTCTAAACTGTCAAATTTTTGAATTCAGCATCCATCTTCTGCCAATTCATGCAGTTGTCATTTTTAAGGCTGAATATGCGATCAAGTTTTCAGTTTTATAAATTTGCATTTAAGGACTCAACGAAGAAAAATGTTGAGTAATAGTTTTAACTATTGAAGTAGACAGAACAAATTATGGAATTCTGCTAGAACTGTTTTGTTTAAGTTTAAAAAAAAATAGGTAAAAAGTTATCATATTATTGTATATTCTGTGTGATCTAATTCCTAGAATGTACTTTTATTTCACCAAAATACAATAATTTCAAAAGAGGTGATATGACGAGATTTAAAGAAGTCACAAATAACAATACTAATTTTACTTTTGCAGATAAGGTACAGATTATTTATTGATTATGCATTTTTGAGAAAGCCATGATAAAATGAGCTTTGTGAATTTTATTCAGCAGTGATTTTGCCTTTTTTTCAAATCCAAAACTTTTACAACTGCTACTTTTATTTTTGTTTATTCAAACATATCGTAGTGTCTAATAGAGCATTTTAATGTCTTCTTCATAATAATAGGTTTTTCCGTGGTTGTTTGTGAAGTGTCATTTGCAGTCAAAATTTTCTGGAAACCTCTTTAATAATTCATTTTTCTTCTTCACACTCACTAATCGCTTTATAGATAACCACTGATGATGAAGCATTTATCTTCAAATGAAGAAGGAGGATTTGATCATCTTATGGGACGTTATTTTTATTCTTCGCACAATCTTCTGGATCTGACGTTTTTGTCTCATTTATTTTGTTTGACAGCTGCGAGACCTGATGAAACTCAGTATTCGATATCTCTTGTTTTCGGTTAATCTTAGCTGCTTTGTCTATGCAAATTATTAAATCATTCATAAAATTTATTTTAAAAAACAGTAACTGAGATCTTATGTAATGTTTCAGCTGATAATGATTGAAGAATTTGACACCTCTGATGAATTCAAATTTTGAAAGATGCTACTTCTTCGAATTTAAGTTTGTAATTGTTAAGAAAAAAAACACTAAATTCAAAAGGTTGTCTATTCTCAGTGGATATCAAGAATAAATAGACCTTTGAAATTTAAGAACATTTTGTTTTTCAACAGAAGCTAGAGTGTTTAACCTATTTAATTCCATAGACACCTTTCTAAAACTTTTTTCATTCATTTCAACGATTTGTCATCATTTTTTTATGCATTCAAGTTGTGTGGGTGTGTCTCCGGTCAGATATATTCATACAATCTAGAATTATTGAAATCTGACAGGTTTGGTTCCTTTAACTGTAACGGGTCAGTTTAATTTTTTGAATGCAATTCATTTAATCAGTGCAAGGTACAATAAAGGAATACAAATGAAGATTTGAGAAATTTTGATTATTTTAAAAGAATCACTAACAAGATTATTTACCTTGCATACTTGTTACCAAGTGTATTTTTTACAACTGCAAAGCATAAACGATGTTTTATTTTTAATTTTGAACGTTTTCTTCCTTCATCTGAAAATCTTAATAAATAAGCTGAGTCGTCTCTTTTCTCTCTCCCTTTCCCTTTCTCCGCCTCACTTTATTGCACACAAAATTTGAATTTATTGCTTCATGGTTCGGTTACATAAAAGAAACTATATATATTGAAAATCTGATAATCTCTAAACACACATATTTTTTCTAACACAGATAAATTCTCAGAATGATAGTTTCTGAGGATAGCACAGATAATTTACTTCATTAATCGCTTTTTTAGGAAATTGTGTTTATCATATGAATAAATATTTCTAGCTCTAAGAAAATGTCATGATGTAAGCTGGTCATTGTTTTATAATAAAATTTCTTATAAATACTTCGAGTTTCTTCTTTCCTCCTCATCTTTCCTTTCTTATTTTTCTATCTTTTCTCTCAATTTTATCATGCATATCTTTTGCAACTTCAATGCATAAACGATGTTTCATTTTTAATTTTGAATGTTTCCTAAATCTGAAAACGCGATAGACTACTATACATGTATGTCAAAGAAAATTGTATACCTAATTTTATAACATACTCAAATTTTTGCTAGATGAAAAATTTCATCCTCTTTAAATTTCATTTCTTTTGCATGGCAGAATTGTTAACTGAACCGTCGGACTTCAAAACTTTCTTAATAACCTTGACTTTCGTAGCCAGTTAAATTTCTACTCCAATTCATTACATATGTGTTTTTATTTTGTAGCTGCTTTAATTTTCATGTGAAATCGATAATATAAACTATGAAAATAGCTGTGTAGATGGTTTAATAAATGTCACTTTGCTTTTTTCCTTCCAAGCCATATTTTCATTTTTGGAAATTCAGCAAGTTTAATTAAATTTTCTTTATATATCAATCAAATGAACTAGTTGTCCGATTTTTGCTGACAATATAATCAGATTATCACTAGATTTTATGCTAGTGTCTGTAATTGAAAAATGCTTATCAATCCATCTAGCATCATTTCCTGATAATCAGTAAATGCATCGAATTTTTTGTATCTGTCTTTTTGCATTAAATGTAAATAAAAGTGTTATTTTTTTATGTGTATCATAATGACAATCAAAATTTTTAAATGATATGAACATAATATCCAACCATGTGAATGTTGTTTTTTAGCTAAAGTAAAACTGCAAGAGTAATTTTAAGCTAGCAAAATAATAAATGATAGATTACATTGCTCTGGATAATTTATTGGTATAATTATTGTTGCTGCAAACCACTTTTCCTATTTCAATTTTCTTTCTAACCAAATCTTAAACACAATGGTTCCATGAAGACTGAGGAAACTGAACTGATCTTATTTGTGACTATATTTCGAAAAGTTTTAAATTACTGTTGCGGATTAATGAATATGAAAAAAAAAGGAAGAGTTTTTTCCTCTTCG